ATAAATTATTTCATTATTAAACTTAAATTAAATTATAATAAAAATAAATAAATTACATAAAAAATAAAAACTTTTAAATAGTTGATTTGATGTTAACATCAATATTTTTTTTTAAAGTTTTATGATATTTTCAAATTTATATTTTATTCAAAAATAAAGTCATTACTGTTTTTTTAAAAAGACATAAAACCGTATCATAATATCGACAGAGATAAATAATAAAATAAAATATTAAAATCGAGATGTATCTTGTTGCATTGTGCGAGTACTCTTCTAGTAATATTTGAAAACACAAAGTATAATTAATAGGAAATTATGACTTAATATTTTCAAAGTTTTTATTTATTTTATTTTAAAATCCAGTTGGTTTTAATTATTAAATTCGTTTTAAAAAACGGTTAGTTTATAATAGGGAAAAACTACAAATTATATGATGAACAGACAGATCCAATAATTGTGGACAGGATCATCATTAGTTTTCGATTATCACAATTTTATCACATTATTATATATCACAACAAAATCATATCATTATTATCAAAAGTTACACCATAAGATTTTTTTTTGATAAAACAATAAATTATTAATTAGAGTGTCAAAGGTATTTATCAGTATATTATCTATACTACTTTATTAAGCAAATTTACTCAATGTCTTAAAGTCTTAAAATTTTAAATACCCAAAATACCCTTTATATCCTTTTTTTTTTTTTTTTTTAACTTTCCCTTTACCCGCCTCCCTCCCCCAATACGTCTCTTTACTTTACCCGGCTCCTCTCCCCCAAGACCACGCTTCTGCTTACCCGGCTCCCAAGACGACGATTCAAGATTTATCCCACTCCCCAAATGATTCCCTTTAAGAGTTGTCCCTCGCTTCCTTTAATCGTTCAATCGTCCTTCCCAATCACCGCTTTCAATCGTCCTTCCCAATCACCGCACATCATCACCGCCGAATCGTTCAATCGTCCCTCCCTGTGTTACCTTCGCTCTCCACTGCTATTTCAGGTATGAACAATGCCATTTCATTTATCTGTTTGGGTTTTGCTGATTTTGTATTGCTTTCCTTTAAGAGTCGTCCCTAGCTTCATCGCTTCCCTTTAATCGTTCAATCGGCCTTCCCAATCAGCGCTTTCAATCGTCGATCTCCATCTGCTATTTCAGGTATTGCTTTCATTTATCTGTTTCGGTTGATTTTGTATTGTTATTTACTGATTTCGTTTCTGTTTACATTGTACTCAATTGGCAATAATATGTTTGGGTTTTGCTTTTGGGTTTTGGGTTTAGGGCTTCATTTACTGATTTTGTATTGTTATTTATTGATTTCGTGAGAAAATCTTAAGCCTAAGCCTATAATTTCTGTTTACATTGTACTCTATTGGCAAGAATATGTTTGGGTTTTGCTTTTGAGTTTTGCTGATTTTGTATTGCTTTCAATAATCTGCTTGGGTTTTGCTTATGTATGCCAAGTGTTTGTTAAAATGCTTCATTTTACTGATTTTGTATTGTTATTTACTGGTTTTGATGTTTGGGTTGTACTCCATTTCTGGTAGGTCATATAAGCTTAATTTAATTGCAGAGCTTCTTTTACTGCTTACCTTTTACGTAAGCATCAGATTTAGTATGTTAGCATAACAACTTTGATCTCTATTGTCACCGGATGGTAAATTGTGGAAGCATAATTGTCTGTAAATCTTCAAATCCTCAAATTGTTTGTTTCATCTATATCAATTATCGCCAATTTCCCTTTCAAAAGATTTAAGACAGAATTACTTTTTTGCAGATAACAATCCACGATAGCATTGATTCAGCTTGACTAATAATCGAACACTTGAGCGACAAATGTATGCATTTTTGGTGTTAATTTTGCAACCAAACCCAATCAAACATTGCATGTGAGCTCAAATTACTTTCTGATACAATGGATTATATACATGATTTACAAAGTATTTCGGGACAAATTCATATCCTTAATATATTGTTTACCCGTTGAGTATGAGTGCAAACAGAAGCAGGTTGAAGTCCGAAAGGAAATGCAAAGTTCCTATCTTTTGTTTATTCATCTGTCTATGAGTTCTATATTTATATGAATTTTCATCGACTTATATTTGTAAGTATGGATCTCAAGGGTTGAGGGTGTTAATGGTAAACACAGTTTATCAGTTATGCATTTTGGTTTTGATGATTTGTTCATTTGTTAAGAACTGATCTAATTTGATCATGGATTTGGTGGCATAGTCTGATTGAATTAGTTTAACATATGGCACAACCTCTTTACATTAGATTAGGTTTAGATTTGGTGGCATGGTCTGAATGGTTTAGTTTACTATATGTCTTATCTGTACCTCTGCTTTAAACTTGTGAAACATGAGTTTGTTTGTTTTGGCAAGACTAGGTTTGTATGATTGTATAAAGGGCCGTTTACCAAACACTTACCTAGTAAGTGCTTACTTGTAAAATTTTAGTCCACCAAAACTACATCGTATGCAACAATTTACCTGGTAAGCGCTTACCGTGGTAAGAGTTGTCGCCCTCACTTACCGGGTAAGACTCTTGGTCCTTATCTCGCTCTCACCGGGTAAGATTCTTGGTCCT